GACTTGCTAGAAGTTAATTTAGAAGTCGTTAGTTTATTATCGGAACAGTTGCAATTTTTTTAGTGTCTTTGTGCGTGTGTTTGCAGGCCTGTTATTTCGAATAAATTTTAAAACTACGTAAATATTGGCGGATGTAAATGCTAAACAGGCCAACTGATATTAAAGTCGAACTGTTAAATTACTGTGCATTTATATTTTATTTGGAGTAGCATTTCATATTTTTATAGAGCAATGTTGTGATAAACTGAGAAATATGTAGTAACACGAAGTTAACCGAACTATTAAGGCTATAGACTTTTGTGTTCCCTGTATTGGATGTTGATCTCGGCTTCGGCTGCTATGAGGAGTACATGATTCTTTTCAGTCTCTATAGAAAAATAGCAGAACGGAATCTTTAAAATAGAGTGTCTGATTTTCATTTACAATTCTTCACGTTTCAGCACACATAATTAATCCACTTATATAATTTGGGCTACGTATCTTTAGCAAAAGATGGAGATTATCAAACATCCGAATTTGGCCAACTATTCCTCGTTGGTTGCATCAACTACTCGGATTACTTATCTCAGGTGATTTTGAACCCACTGTCACGACATTTATGGGTCGGGAAGTGTTTCGTTTGACAAAACTCTGTCTAATACGACGTTTGATGCTTGACAATTTGGAACCATTGTTAGGTGTCAAATGTTTGACAATCCAGCGATAAATGCCTTACCTTTACTGGAATCATTCATAAAGTTTAACATCATAGTCGGATCATGCCGTTGCCCAAGCGGGTAGCTTAGGCTTCTCGCTGTAGAGACCAGGGTTTGTTCACAAAGCAGTCCACGGGAGGATTTGTGATATGCTAAGTGACGCTGGGACAGAATTTTCTACGAGTCATTCTTTTTTCCCTGTCAATATAATTCCAACGCTGCTCCATATTTATTCATGTATCATCTGATGGGTGGATAATGGGCCAATTAGTGGCCGCAGTTCGAGTAGAGACGTAATGTCACACTTTGCAATAATACAGTTGACACCCGATAAATCGGAGTTATATAGTATAAACGAAAATTAAAAATGAATTGTGAAAATCTGTTGTAAATGTTACAACGTTAAAAATGAAGGAATAAATATAACAATGATATATTATTTTGTATTAACAATTAAATTATTGTTAAAATATGCGTTTACGACAATAGAACGTTATTAATATCAGTTGGAATAATTTTTAAAACTAGTTCGTTAATACTATATTAAATTTTATATGAAATCCTTTCAGCTATTAATATATATTTTAAGATTTTGCTTGTTTTTCTTTTATTTTTTAGTGTTCTCCAGGGTTTTGATTATTCGTTAAAACATATTTCTCAACCAACCTCGATAATCGGAAAGCTACTGTAAAACAATGAATATCTAACAATTTATCACTGATTATCGTAAAATGTTTATGATAAATTGTGGGACGTTGTGAAATGTGAATTACTTTATCAATCCTGGCTTATTATAGGATAGACCTTTGACTTTTTATAGAATGTTTGTCGAAAATTAAAAGATATTCATCTCAGAATGTTATTAGCGATGATGTTTTATTACCAGTCTGAAATTTTTGGACATCTTAAATCGCCATTGTGCTTTTCTCAAACCTCTACGTTTCGGGAGATTGCTGTGGGCTCACAGATTGGGATTAGTTCCACCTAAGAGGCCCAACTGCATAGGTTCACCTGAGGACGGAGGAAGAGTCTGCTTCCGAATCGTAGTGGTTCTATGTAGCACAATGGAGATCAAAAAAGAAAAATGGTGACATATACAGGCAACTCTCGATTTACGAACGTTCGATTTACAAGCATTCGCTAGAACGAACGGCACAATTCATTCAATTTTTTTTAAAGTCGCCAATAGATAGAGTTCCTTATAAAACGAAATGCCAAACGTATAGTGAACATAATTGTAAGATTTAAATAAATAAACTTTTAAAAAATGTATTTATTACAATAATTATCAGAAAATTATTATATGATAATTATACTGAACTCTTCTTGGTTAATAAAACTAATCTAGCCAGTAAAGAAACGTTGGTTTACGTGCCACGCCGCGTAGAATGTTTTCTCGTGGGATAGAAATCGGTGATTCGCCATATTATATTATATTGTATTGTAAACGTATTGTATATACCAGACGTTCCCAAAGTGTGGGGTGCGCCCCCCTGGGGGGCGCGAGTGGTTTTATAGGGGGGGGGGTGTTGTTTGTATGATAAACTTTTTTTAACGAAATATGGAGAAACATTTTTAACATCCTTTGTTTGGTTGAGGCAGTTTAGTTGTCTTACAGTGTTGTAGAATTCAGACTCGTAGAACATTGGCGGTTTTAGGAAATAAACGGCAATATAAGTCTAGGTACAGTTAGGGACCCATCCCACTAATCCAGGTATGAAGCGTATATTTTATCACAGTTTTTTAAATTATATGCATTGAATAA